CAGTTTCAGAGGGATGTCTACAGGCTCTGACTGGGTCAACTTTTCAATCAGGTGCTAAGGAATGATTGTGTTGAATGCTGTGAATGCTCCTAGTCAGGAAGTCTAGCTTCCAGTTTCAGAGGGATGTCTACAGGCTCTGACTGGTTCGCCTTTTCAATCAGGTGCTGAGGAATGATTGTGTTGAATGCTGTGGTGAACTTTTCACTGAAGACCATTTGAACACACAAGTCCATTTTGTCCTTGGCCAGATGGAGGGTGGTGGCGATTGGGTTATCTGTTGAGCTTGTGGAACTTGGATACAGATTTTTGTACTGATTATATCCCGTCATTATATGTTCTATACATTCTGGTTACACACAAGCTTTTTTTTTATTTCTCTTAAAAGTCATGTTTTCAGCCTTGTTAGAGCAGTAGGTAGCGTGTCAGTCTCATAATCTGAAGGTCGTGAGTTCAATCCTCACACAGGGCATGGGTTTTTTTTAGATTACGTAGAATTTGCTCTGGCTGGAGGTGCTGGAGCTGCTGCTCCTGATCCAGACTGAGTGAGGTCTCCTAGTCAGGAAGTCTAGCGTCCAGTTTCAGAAGGATGTCTACAGGCTCTGACTGGTTCGCCTTTTCAATCAGGTGCTAAGGAATGATTGTGTTGAATGCTGTGGTGAACTTTTCACTGAAGACCATTTGAACGCACGTGTCCATTTTGTCCTTGGCCAGATGGAGGGTGGTGGCGATTGGGTTATCTGTTGAGCTCGTGGAACTTGGATACAGATTTTTGTACTGATTATATCCCGTCATTATATCTTCTATACACTCTGGTTACACACATGCTTTTTTTTTATTTCTCTTAGAGGTCATGTTTTCAGCCTTGTTAGCGCAGTAGGTAGCGTGTCAGTCTCATAATCTGAAGGTCGTGAGTTCAATCCTCACACAGGGCATTGGTTTTGTTTTCAGATTACGTAGAATTTGCTCTGGCTGGAGCTGCTGGAGGTGCTGCTCCTGATCCAGACTGAGTGTGGTCTCCTAGTCAGGAAGTCTAGCGTCCAGTTTCAGAGGGTTGTCTACAGGCTCTGACTGGGTTGCCTTTTCAATCAGGTGCTGAGGAATGATTGTGTTGAATGCTGTGGTGAACTTTTCTCTGAAGACCAGTTGAATGCACGTGTCTTCTTACTCATGCCCAGTTGGAGGGTGGTGGCGATTGGGTTATCTGTTGAGCTCTTGGAACTTGGATACAGATTTTTGTACTGATTATATCCCGTCATCATATGTTTTATACGTTCTGGTTACACACATGCTTTTTTTTTTTCTCTTAGACGTCATGTTTACAGCCTTGTTAACGCAGTATGTAGCCTGCCAGTCTCATACTCTGAAGGTCGTGAGTTCAATCGTCACACACGGCATGGGTTTTGTTTTCAGATTACGTAGAATTTGCTCTGGCTGGAGGTGGTGATCCCGATCCAGACTGAGTGTGGTCTCCTAGTCAGGAAGTCTAGCGTCCAGTTTCAGAGGGTTGTCTACAGGCTCTGACTGGGTTGCCTTTTCAATCAGGTGCTGAGGAATGATTGTGTTGAATGCTGTGGTGAACTTTTCTCTGAAGACCATTTGAACGCACGTGTCTTTCTTGCTCATGGCCAGTTGCAGTGTGGAGGCGATTGTGGCTTCTGTTGAGCTCCTGGAACTTGGATACAGATTTTTGTCCTGATTATATCCCGGCATCATATGTTTTATACATTCTGGTTACACACATGCTTTTTTTTGTTTCTCTTGTAGGTCTTGTTTTCAGCCTTGTTAGCGCAGTAGGTAGTGCATCAGTCTCATAATCTGAAGGTCGTGAGTTCAATCCTCACATAGGGCATGGGCTTTGTTTCAGATTTCGTAGAATTTGCTCTGGCTGTAGCTACTGATCCCGATCCAGACTGACTGAGGTCTACTAGTCAGGAAGTCTAGCATCCATTTTCAGAGGGTTGTCTACAGGCTCTGACTGGGTTGCCTTTTCAATCAGGTGCTGAGGAATGATTGTGTTGAATGCTGTGGTGAACTTTTCTCTGAAGACCATTTGAACGCACGTGTCCTTCTTACTCATGCCCAGTTAGAGTGTGGTGGCGATTGTGGCTTTTGTTGAGCTACTGGAACTTGGATACAAATTTTTGTACTGATTATATCCCGTCATTATATGTTCTATACATTCTGGTTACACACAAGCTTTTTTTTTATTTCTCTTAGAGATCATGTTTTCAGCCTTGTTAGCGCAGTAGGTAGCGCGTCAGTGTCATAATCTGAAGGTCGTGAGTTCAATCCTCACACAGGGCATGGGTTTTGTTTTCAGATTACGTAGAATTTGCTCTGGCTGGAGCTGCTGATCCCGATCCAGACTGACTGAGGTCTCCTAGTCAGGAAGTCTAGCGTCCAGTTTCAGAGGGATGTCTACAGGCTCTGACTGGTTCGCCTTTTCAATCAGGTGCTAAGGAATGATTGTGTTGAATGCTGTGGTGAACTTTTCACTGAAGACCATTTGAACGCACGTGTCCATTTTGTCCTTGGCCAGATGGAGGGTGGTGGCGATTGGGTTATCTGTTGAGCTCGTGGAACTTGGATACAGATTTTTGTACTGATCATATCCCGTCATTATATCTTTTATACATTCTGGTTACACACATGCTTTTTTTTTATTTCTCTTAGAGGTCATGTTTTCAGCCTCGTTAGCGCAGTAGGTAGCGTGTCAGTCTCATAATCTGAAGGTTGTGAGTTCAATCCTCACACAGGGCATGGGTTTTGTTTTCAGATTACGTAGAATTTGCTCTGGCTGGAGCTGCTGGAGGTGCTGCTCCTGACCCAGACTGAGTGAGGTCTCCTAGTCAGGAAGTCTAGCTTCCAGTTTCAGAGGGATGTCTACAGGCTCTGACTGGTTCGCCTTTTCAATCAGGTGCTGAGGAATGATTGTGTTGAATGCTGTGGTGAACTTTTCACTGAAGACCATTTGAACACACAAGTCCATTTCTTGTTCTTGGCCAGTTGGAGTGTGGTGGCGATTGGGTTATCTGTTGAGCTCGTGGAACTTGGATACAGATTTTTGTACTGATTATATCCCGTCATTATATGTTCTATACATTCTGGTTACACACAAGCTTTTTTTTTTTTCTCTTAAAGAGTACGTTTTTTCAGCCTTGTTAGGGCAGTAGGTAGCGTGTCAGTCTCATAATCTGAAGGTGCGTGAGTTCAATCCTCACACAGGGCATGGGTTTTGTTTTAGATTACGTAAATTTGCTCTGTGGATGGGCTGCTGATCCTGATCCAGACTGAGTGAGGTCTCCTAGTCAGGAAGTCTAGCGTCCAGTTTCAGAAGGATGTCTACAGGCTCTGACTGGTTCGCCTTTTCAATCAGGTGCTAAGGAATGATTGTGTTGAATGCTGTGGTGAACTTTTCACTGAAAAACCATTTGACATACGTGTCCATTTTGTCCTTGGCCAGATGGAGGGTGGTGGCGTTGGGTTATCTGTTGAGCTTCGTGGAACTTGGATACAGATTTTTGTACTGATTATATCCCGTCATTATATGTTCTATACATTCTGGTTACACACATGCTTTTTTTTATTTCTCTTAGAGGTCATGTTTTCAGCCTTGTTAGAGCACGTAGGTAGCGTGTCAGTCTCATAATCTGAAGGTCGTGAGTTCAATCCTCACACAGGGCATGGTTTTGTTTTCAGATTACGTAGAATTTGCTCTGGCTGGAGCTGCTGGAGGTGCTGCTCCTGATCCAGACTGAGTGAGGTCTCCTAGTCAGGAAGTCTAGCGTCCAGTTTCAGAGGGATGTCTACAGGCTCTGACTGGTTCGCCTTTTCAATCAGGTGCTAAGGAATGATTGTGTTGAATGCTGTGGTGAACTTTTCACTGAAGACCATTTGAACACACGAATTTTTGTCCTGCTCATGGCCAGTTGGAGGGTGGTGGCGATTGGGTTATCTGTTGAGCTCGTGGAACTTGGATACAGATTTTTGTACTGATTATATCCCGTCATTATATGTTCTATACATTCTGGTTACACACAAGCTTTTTTTTTTATTTCTCTTAGAGGTCATGTTTTCAGCCTTGTTAGCGCAGTAGGTAGCGTGTCAGTCTCATAATCTGAAGGTCGTGAGTTCAATCCTCACACAGGGCATTGGTTTTGTTTTCAGATTACGTAGAATTTGCTCTGGCTGGAGCTGCTGGAGGTGCTGCTCCTGATCCAGACTGAGTGTGGTCTCCTAGTCAGGAAGTCTAGCGTCCAGTTTCAGAGGGATGTCTACAGGCTCTGACTGGGTTCGCCTTTTCAATCAGGTGCTGAGGAATGATTGTGTTGAATGCTGTGGTGAACTTTTCTCTGAAGACCAGTTGAACGCACGTGTCTTCTTACTCATGCCCAGTTGGAGTGTGGTGGCGATTGGGTTATCTGTTGAGCTCTTGGAACTTGGATACAGATTTTTGTCCTGATTATATCCCGGCATCATATGTTTTATACATTCTGGTTACACACATGCTTTTTTTTTTTTTCTCTTAGACGTCATGTTTACAGCCTTGTTAACGCACGTATGTAGCCTGCCAGTCTCATACTCTGAAGGTCGTGAGTTCAATCGCTACACACGGCATGGGTTTTGTTTTCAGATTACGTAGAATTTGCTCTGGCTGGAGGTGGTGATCCCGATCCAGACTGAGTGTGGTCTCCTAGTCAGGAAGTCTAGCGTCCAGTTTCAGAGGGTTGTCTACAGGCTCTGACTGGGTTGCCTTTTCAATCAGGTGCTGAGGAATGATTGTGTTGAATGCTGTGGTGAACTTTTCTCTGAAGACCATTTGAACGCACGTGTCTTTCTTGCTCATGGCCAGTTGCAGTGTGGAGGCGATTGTGGCTTCTGTTGAGCTCCTGGAACTTGGATACAAATTTTTGTACTGATTATATCCCGTCATTATATGTTCTATACATTCTGGTTACACACAAGCTTTTTTTTTATTTCTCTTAGAGATCATGTTTTCAGCCTTGTTAGCGCAGTAGGTAGCGCGTCAGTGTCATAATCTGAAGGTCGTGTTCAATCCTACACAGGGCATGGGTTTTGTTTTCAGATTACGTAGAATTTGCTCTGGCTGTAGCTGCTGATCCCCGATCCAGACTGACTGAGGTCTACTAGTCAGGAAGTCTAGCATCCATTTTCAGAGGGTTGTCTACAGGCTCTGACTGGGTTGCCTTTTCAATCAGGTGCTGAGGAATGATTGTGTTGAATGCTGTGGTGAACTTTTCTCTGAAGACCATTTGAACGCACGTGTCCTTCTTACTCATGCCCAGTTAGAGTGTGGTGGCGATTGTGGCTTTTGTTGAGCTACTGGAACTTGGATACAAATTTTTGTACTGATTATATCCCGTCATTATATGTTCTATACATTCTGGTTACACACAAGCTTTTTTTTTATTTCTCTTAGAGATCATGTTTTCAGCCTTGTTAGCGCAGTAGGTAGCGCGTCAGTGTCATAATCTGAAGGTCGTGAGTTCAATCCTCACACAGGGCATGGGTTTTGTTTTCAGATTACGTAGAATTTGCTCTGGCTGGAGCTGCTGATCCCGATCCAGACTGACTGAGGTCTCCTAGTCAGGAAGTCTAGCGTCCAGTTTCAGAGGGATGTCTACAGGCTCTGACTGGTTCGCCTTTTCAATCAGGTGCTAAGGAATGATTGTGTTGAATGCTGTGGTGAACTTTTCACTGAAGACCATTTGAACGCACGTGTCCATTTTGTCCTTGGCCAGATGGAGGGGTGGTGGATTGGGTTATCTGTTGAGCTCGTGGAACTTGGATACAGATTTTTGTACTGATTAATATCCCGTCATTATATCTTTTATACATTCTGGTTACACACATGCTTTTTTTTATTTCTCTTAGAGGTCATGTTTTCAGCCTGTTAGCGCAGTAGGTAGCGTGTCAGTCTCATAATCTGAAGGTTGTGAGTTCAATCCTCACACAGGGCATGGGTTTTGTTTTCAGATTAGTTAGGATATGCTCTGGCTGGAGCTGCTGGAGGTGCTGCCTGACCCAGACTGAGTGAGGTCTCCTAGTCAGGAAGTCTAGCGTCCAGTTTCAGAGGGATGTCTACAGGCTCTGACTGGTTCGCCTTTTCAATCAGGTGCTGAGGAATGATTGTGTTGAATGCTGTGGTGAACTTTTCACTGAAGATCATTTGAACACACAAGTCCTTTTTGCTCTTGGCCAGTTGGAGTGTGGTGGCGATTGGGTTATCTGTTGAGCTCGTGGAACTTGGATACAATTTTTTGTACTGATTATATATCGTCATTATATGTTCTATACATTCTGGTTACACACAAGCTTTTTTTTTTTTCTCTTAGAGGTCATGTTTTCAGCCTTGTTAGCGCAGTAGGTAGCGTGTCAGTCTCATAATCTGAAGGTTGTGAGTTCAATTCACGAAAAATGTGGGCGTATGATATAGTCTAAGAGAGGGATGTCTACAGGCTCTGCTGGGTCACTCAATCAGGTGTAAATGATTGTGTTGAATTGTAATGTAGTCAAGGAAGATGTCTACAGTTGGTTCGTTTAATCAGTGCTGAGGAATGATTGTGTTGAATGCTGTGGTGAACTTTTCACTGAAGACCATTTGAACACACGTGTCCATTTTGTCCTTGGCCAGATGGAGGGTGGTGGCGATTGGGTTATCTGTTGAGCTCGTGGAACTTGGATACAGATTTTTATACTGATTATATCCCATTTTATATGTTTTATAACGTTCTGGTTACACACATGCTTTTTTTTTATTTCTCTTAGAGATCATGTTTTCAGCCTTGTTAGCGCAGTAGGTAGCGCGTCAGTCTCATAATCTGAAGGTCGTGAGTTCAATCCTCACACAGGGCATGGGTTTTGTTTTCAGATTACGTAGAATTTGCTCTGGCTGGAGCTGCTGATCCCGATCCAGACTGATTGAGGTCTCCTAGTCAGGAAGTCTAGCGTCCAGTTTCAGAGGGATGTCTACAGGCTCTGACTGGTTCGCCCTTTTCAATCAGGTGCTAAGGAATGATTGTGTTGAATGCTGTGGTGAACTTTTCACTGAAGACCATTTGAACGCACGTGTCCATTTTGTCCTTGGCCAGATGGAGGGTGGTGGCGATTGGGTTATCTGTTGAGCTCGTGGAACTTGGATACAGATTTTTGTACTGATTATATCCCGTCATTATAGCTTTCTATACATTCTGGTTACACACATGCTTTTTTTTATTTCTCTTAGAGGTCATGTTTTCAGCCTTGTTAGCGCAGTAGGTAGCGTGTCAGTCCATAATCTGAAGGTTGTGAGTTCAATCCTCACACAGGGCATGGGTTTTGTTTTCAGATTACGTAGAATATGCTCTGGCTGGAGCTGCTGGAGGTGCTGCTCCTGATCCAGACTGAGTGAGGTCTCCTAGTCAGGAAGTCTAGCGTCCAGTTTCAGAGGGATGTCTACAGGCTCTGACTGGTTCGCCTTTTCAATCAGGTGCTGAGGAATGATTGTGTTGAATGCTGTGGTGAACTTTTCACTGAAGATCATTTGAACACACAAGTCCTTCTTGCTCATGGCCAGTTGGAGTGTGGTGGCGATTGGGTTATCTGTTGAGCTCGTGGAACTTGGATACAGATTTTTGTACTGATTATATCCCGTCATTATATGTTCTATACATTCTGGTTATAACACAAGCTTTTTTTTATTTCTCTTAGAGGTCATGTTTTCAGCCTTGTTAGCGCAGTAGGTAGCGCGTCAGTCTCATAATCTGAAGGTCGTGAGTTCAATCCTCACACAGGGCATGGGTTTTTTCAGATTACGTAAATTTGCTCTGGCTGGAGCTGCTGATCCCGATCCAGACTGAGTGAGTCTCCTAGTCAGGAAGTCTAGCGTCAGTTAGAGATTCTAAGCTCTGACTGGGTACTTTAAAGTGAAAATGATTGTGTGAATTGTGAATGCTCCTAGTCAAAGTAGCTTCCAGTTTCAGAGGGATGTCTACAGGCTCTGACTGGTTCGCCCTTTTCAATCAGGTGCTGAGGAATGATTGTGTTGAATGCTGTGGTGAACTTTTCTCTGAAGACCATTTGAACGCACGTTTCATTTGTCCTCCTGGCCAGATGGAGGTGGTGGTGGCGGTGGTTATTCTGTTGAACTCGTGGAACTTGGATACAGATTTTTGTACTGATTATATCCCGTCATTATATGTTCTATACATTCTGGTTACACACATGCTTTTTTTTTTTTTCTTAGAGGTCATGTTTTCAGCCTTGTTAGCGCAGTAGGTAGCGTGTCAGTCTCATAATCTGAAGGTCGTGAGTTCAATCCTCACACAGGGATGGGTTTTGTTTTCAGATTACGTAGAATTTGCTCTGGCTGGAGCTGCTGATCAAGCTCCTACGTGATTATAATCTATTCATTTCAGGGGATGTTACAGGCTCTGACTGGTTGCGCCTTTTCAATCAGGTGCTGAGGAATGATTGTGTTGAATGCTGTGGTGAACTTTTCACTGAAGACCATTTGAACACACAAGTCCATTTTGTCCTTGGCCAGATGGAGGGTGGTGGCGATTGGGTTATCTGTTGAGCTCGTGGAACTTGGATACAGATTTTTGTACTGATTATACCCCGTCATTATATGTTCTATACATTCTGGTTACACACAATGCTTTTTTTTATTTCTCTTTAAAAGTCATGTTTTCAGCCTTGTTAGAGCAGTAGGTAGCGTGTCAGTCTCATAATCTGAAGGTCGTGAGTTCAATCCTCACACAGGGCATGGGTTTTTTTTTAGATTACGTGAATTTGCTCTGGCTGGAGGTGCTGGAGCCTGCGTTCTGATCCAGACTGAGTGAGGTCTCCTAGTCAGGAAGTCTAGCGTCCAGTTTCAGAAGGATGTCTACAGGCTCTGACTGGTTCGCCTTTTCAATCAGGTGCTAAGGAATGATTGTGTTGAATGCTGTGGTGAACTTTTCACTGAAGACCATTTGAACGCACGTGTCCATTTTGTCCTTGGCCAGATGGAGGGTGGTGGCGATTGGGTTATGTGTTGAGCTCGTGGAACTTGGATACAGATTTTTGTACTGATCATATCCCGTCATTATATCTTCTATACACTCTGGTTACACACATGCTTTTTTTTTATTTCTCTTAGAGGTCATGTTTTCAGCCTTGTTAGCGCAGTAGGTAGCGTGTCAGTCTCATAATCTGAAGGTCGTGAGTTCAATCCTCACACAGGGCATTGGTTTTGTTTTCAGATTACGTAGAATTTGCTCTGGCTGGAGCTGCTGGAGGTGCTGCTCCTGATCCAGACTGAGTGAGGTCTCCTAGTCAGGAAGTCTAGCGTCCAGTTTCAGAGGGTTGTCTACAGGCTCTGACTGGTTGCCGCTTTTTTTACAATCAGGTGCTGAGGAATGATTGTGTTGAATGCTGTGGTGAACTTTTCTCTGAAGACCAGTTGAATGCACGTGTCTTCTTACTCATGCCCAGTTGGAGGGTGGTGGCGATTGGGTTATCTGTTGAGCTCTTGGAACTTGGATACAGATTTTTGTACTGATTATATCCCGTCATCATATGTTTTATACGTTCTGGTTACACACATGCTTTTTTTTTTCTCTTAGACGTCATGTTTACAGCCTTGTTAACGCAGTATGTAGCCTGCCAGTCTCATACTCTGAAGGTCGTGAGTTCAATCGTCACACACGGCATGGGTTTTGTTTTCAGATTACGTAGAATTTGCTCTGGCTGGAGGTGGTGATCCCGATCCAGACTGAGTGTGGTCTCCTAGTCAGGAAGTCTAGCGTCCAGTTTCAGAGGGTTGTCTACAGGCTCTGACTGGGTTGCCTTTTCAATCAGGTGCTGAGGAATGATTGTGTTGAATGCTGTGGTGAACTTTTCTCTGAAGACCATTTGAACGCACGTGTCCTTCTTACTCATGCCCAGTTAGAGTGTGGTGGCGATTGTGGCTTTTGTTGAGCTACTGGAACTTGGATACAAATTTTTGTACTGATTATATCCCGTCATTATATGTTCTATACATTCTGGTTACACACAAGCTTTTTTTATTTCTCTTAGATACATGT